CGGTCCATACTTAGAATGCATCTGTCAGCTGTCCTCCATGCACGAAATAGTTTGATGACTAAACTAAGTAAAACTTTTTATAAATCTTTCCTAATATTTCAGTTTATCTGTTAAATGAAAATATACTATTTGTTTTGTTACAGATATTGTCTATCATTACGGAATTTCTGTCAACATTTTCATAATTTAACTTTCATCATCTGTGCGTAAAATTTGTCCCATCTTTAGGCTGCTCAATATTAGATATCTGAATGACGGTTGAAATTACTTCAACGTCAAATTATGATTTTAATTTCATCAAAAATATTTGTCTTCATGTCTGAAAAATAACTATATGTTAAACAGACACCGTTTTTGGGCTGAAAATCATAAATAAGTAGGAATTTATTCCCTGTATGTTACATTCATATATGGTCGATTGAATATTGAGAAGAGTTAGTAAAAATAGTTATTTCTAAAGAATGAGGAAAGAAGGAGAAAAACAGTCAGTTTGCATAACTATCTGATCATAGCTAGATAACCACTGAAAACCCGGCATCACCAATAGCATTTTCGCCCTAGTATGGAATTCCTTAGCACTGCAGATCCACTCTCACAATAGTGATCGATACTAAATTCTTCGTCTCTCTCTTCATTAGTGCTGATATTCATATCTAACCTCTTTCGTTTAGTGATATCACTCAACCATTTTCCTAAACCGTCTATAAGTAACTGATCCACATCAATCATCAGTAAATAAATGAAAACTGTTGCAAGAGTAATTTGTGGATGCAATTGTATTTTCACAACTTACACTACGGACTAATTTTATTCAAACAACTTAAAGGTCGTGAGTTCGATCTCCAGTTGGGTTGACGGTGTAAAAAAACAAAATACTGAGTATTATACTAGAATAAACTATCAGTCTATTACTTTCTGATTTTCAACAATTGTCTAACTAAGGTCAGTCCATGATGAAAACTTCACAATTCCCTATAACACATAGCTAAAAAAAATGTAACTAATCAATAAGAAAACAGAAGTAACCTTTACTCAACAGATATTTTCATTCTAAAAAAAAAGAGAAAGGGAGAGGAGAGAGAGAAAAAAATAAACAAAGAAATAAACAGTTAGAAGTTATTCATGTGGATTTTTTGTTGTTATTATTATTATTATTGTTATTGTTTAATTCAAAACAAACAACAAAAAAAGCGATACATAAATGTTGAATAAAAAGGAATAGTTGAACTTTTCTAATATTAAAATAAGTGAAATGAAAAAAAAAATAAAAGAAAAGAGTAGAAAGTGTACAACAATAGCAACAATACCAAAATAAGAATCATCATAAACTGTTATTATTCATATCTTTATTCTTTTACTCTACATTATTATTATTATCTTTGTTAATGAACTGGAAAGAAAAAGGTCAATTTATGCTCTGGGAAACAAATCGTGTACATAAAAACAATTTTTTTCAAAAATAAAAAATAAAAAAATAGAATAATAAAAAGCTGAAACTTATCAAAGAGAAGTCGAGAAAGTAAGAGAGAAAATTATGAACATTAAAATTTCCTGTAGTTTTTATAACAGTATTGAAGAATTGAATCGTTTATATTATAGTCTAATCTATCATAATTAGAATATATATATATATATATATGTTAACCGATGGCTGATTCTGATGGATTATTCTCTGTGTTCAAATAAGAAGTTATGGTCAGTGGATCACAACATATTCTTTAATATAATACAGGTAACTATCATTTGAATCGAGAGGTATTTGAACTAGACTACACACTACTAGATAGAGTCTCAGTAGTTTGAAGGAAAGTGATCGAATGGATTTATGAAGGTCCTTGGTGGTGGATACACATTACTTAGAATTCTCATACTAAACTACCAATTACTATCTAATTTTCAACAGTTTTCTAAGAAAGGTCAACTGATGATGTAAAGTACGAAAATTCAACAACTTTAACAAGCTCTTATTGGTAGTATAGATTTTTTTAGTTTTAGCTGGTCATTTAAATAATAAGAATATTCGACGAGACTATAATTTATGGAGAAACCAATCAGATTTAGGGTAACAGGTCTTGGATTTTGGCCCGAAATTCGCTGACCCACTCGTCCAAATAGCGTATTGGCATTTTAGTTGTAAATTACTGTCTTTATTCTTCAAACTGCTTTATAACCTTCATTTAGCCCTATAAAGCAGGTAAACACTCAAGGTCACTTTGGCCTGTGTCAAGGATCGTACATAATTTATAGTCTCAGCGAATATTCATATGAATTTAAACACCTAAAAATCTACATATATATGGTTTGAATTATTTAAGACGAGTGCTTCATAGTAATACATAACAACTACCTAGAAAGACACAAATCTAAGTTTCATGTTGATTGATTTAAACGTTAAGACATATTTATTGAGTTTTTTTCAGTGAAAGTAGTTCATATCAATTAGCTCTGATGGGCATAAGAAGGATCAGATTCAATGACCACACTGAAAAAAATGATCGATCCAGTTCAATCAATGACCGAAATGATTGGTGTAATGAATGGATCCTAACTAGAGTTATATGAAGTCCTTATCATTGAATATAAGAACTAACGTCTTCTAAGGCTTGTTTATCACAAACTTATTCGAAAATAATGATAAAAGTTATAACTGAAATCTAAGTTTTTATTTAAATATTAAATATTTAAATACTTAAGCGTCTAATGTGTCATATCATATATGCCAAATGACTATTCTCCTGTAACTTTTTTAATAATTTAGAATAAGTTAGTTCACTGGTTTAGAGTTTATTACGTAATCCACGTCGTTAAAGTTTTCTTAAATGCCTAGAAAAATTCCCTTTACTTAATTTATCGTCTGCTTTGCCAACAAATTGTCTATCCAATTAAACAAAAATATATAACTTTGATAATCATTTTTATACACATTTTATCCTTTATTAAATTCTTATAGTCAAACTGCGCAACCAAACTTAATTAGCCTATTGTTTTATTTTACTTCTCATTTCGTCTGACAAAACAACAACTTTTTATCCATATCTTCTCTCATGTTCGGTAATAACATGGACAGATAGAGGGATAAATAAATAGACGGATAGATAGATATATAGGTAATCCAATGAGAAGATGAAGTTTATCAGACTTGTGCAATATATAGTCGCAGTACATTTCGATTAATCTAATTATAATACTTGTTAAAATATTTCCATATCACAAATGAAAGGTACAGCTAAAGAAATCGGGGTTAAAAATCAAAAATAATAAAAGGAAACAACAAATTACTTTAAAACATAAAGAAATCGGCGAAGTTCATTATGGCTAAAATTTAAACAAACTTAATTGAACCCGAAAAACAACTCTTTTAAAATAAAATCATATTGCCTGAGCTAGAACCAGTTTTACTAATTATCATAAGCATATGTTTAACAACGGACAAACATGGACATTTGTTATCTGCTTTTATTGAGTTGTCAGACTCAATTTCTTCTTGAAGTCATTTCGGTAAACAATTGACTTCCTTAGCTTGTCATTTCTCCCTCCCTCTCAGTAAACACAATCATTCACGTAGTGAAACATGGATGTTTTCTTCACCAACAATCGCCAAAATATATGTGAAGTTTAATGAGCAAAAGAAAGCGAATAACAAACATCCATCTCCTATAGCAAAACACAAATAAATTAGTTATGATATTGAACATACAATCTCATACAATATATTAGACAGTTTATATATTTATGTAGTGAGAAGCGGCGGAATTCACCAAGTGAATTTCTTTCTGTCTGATCCTTTCCAGATGCACATAGCTTCACCTAAGTGTTAATGTCCACATTGCTACTCCTAACTAGTAGTTACCGTTTCGAACGCTAATGTGACGTTTATTAGAGTGATACATTACTACAACCACCAACATGCAATTTGTTTACTGATCTTTTTAATGATTTGTACCTTCCTATTATTGATACTCGGGACAATAAATGATCAATTATTGTGGACATATAAATGCATAATAATTTTAAAACAGAATACAATCAACACATTATTTTTGATCATCTATTCAAATAAAAATTGTTACAAATATATTCTTGATCGTGAAGAGATCTAAGAAAATTTTATTTCACACATTCCATTCACGAATTATATTATGTTTTCTAGCAATACCACTTGGAGCTATTTACTATGACTTTGAAATTCCTCTCAAAGTTTTGTCAATCTTTTTTATCATATATATGGATGTACTACTAAGGACTTTTGTAAGTAACATCCTATACTTTTCTAAAATGTTAAACGCTGCAGAAGTTATATTAATCTAAATTTTCAGACCAATTATCTTTTTCATTTCTGGACAATCGTTCATTCAAAGTTAAAAAAACCAATAACATATTACTTTATCGTCCATTAATCTAATAAAAACAAAAAGAAAACATGAAACGGAAAAAAAAGTCAAGGAAGCATTTCATTAGTTCAACATGGATTGTATTTACTTACTTGCTCAATCATTATATTTGATAAGTGATCTATTTAAACATATTTACATAAGTGAAATAATTATTAAAAAAAAAACTTTTTTAGGCATTTGCCGACAGATATTGTGTACAGTTATAATCAGATACAAAAAACTAAAAGTAACAATTACACCGGTAGACTAATAAAAATGCTATATGGATTGGAAATGAAATTTTAACGCTTTTAGTATTACTATTACTGTTACTATAAGTAGTAGCAGTAATAGTATTGATTGGGTTTTGTGAAATCAATAATGTTTGTTTACCTGTTATCAAAACCTATTTATTTTTTAGTTGTATATTAAAATCAATTGAATGTTACTATCATTGAAAAAGACAAGACATTTTCTATCGTTTAACTTAATTTATTTTGCTTAATTTATGATTGACTACTGATGAATGAAAGAGATTTATTCACATTGACTTTATCATTGTTTTAAGTAATTTAATTTCTTCTGTACATAATAACTCTTGATAATGTGTTTATTTTGATGAATTAGCTCCACCAAGAGGATTTCCAAAAGTTCATCAAGATCCTTCAGCAACTATAAGTCAAGTTGGTGATTCAACACATTTACAATGTGATGTATCAGCTGAACCTCAAGCAACAGTCTATTGGATAAAGGATCAATTTGAATTGATTGATACAAGTCTTCCAAGATTTCGAATTGTTGGTGAGTTTAGACCTTGTTTAAAATGTATTGAATAATTATGTTTATAAACATTTTTGATTGTATGATTTCTTTTAGAATAAAAAAGATTTAGATTTAAGGTTATGTTACATTCTAGAAAATAGATGCTCGAATATGAACGTTTCATTATTGTCCTGGAGAATGTCATCAGCACTCTATAAAACAAAAATCTTTAGACGATCTATTATTTTTTCCAGGCATTTAGATTACATTTAGCATAAATGCAGTTTGTATAACTTTCTATTTCATGATTAATATTTTGATTATCCATAAAGACAATCTCAAATTGATCATCCTTAACTTCTTCCAAAAATATCGTACTAGACAAAATATAGAAAACAATTTAGAAAATGCTTGTTAGTATACTTTAGATAAAAACAAATACGTTTTTCATTAAGTCTGTGGATAATGTTCACTTTGAAATAAAACTTCATCACTGACTAATCCTAAACAAAGAAATTGTTAAAAAAATTGTAAATGATTCTTCACTGTTTTATTTCAATTTGTGACTAGTGTTAGTTGGTTGAAATTGATTGACTGGAAACCCTGCTAGATCTAGATTTTATCTTAATTGGCATTCGCAAGCAAGGGGTACTTATAATCTTAAAAGGACTGTTGTTTCCAGTGGGATTTATAACCTGTCTACTACATTCAACCATCTCATACCTCAATTTATTCACAAGATTCCAAGTAATTGAGATGAGTGTCTGAAGTGAAGCTTGATCTATAGAATTTGATCATAGCTAGGGATTAGAAATAGATGACATTGTACTCTTATTAGTAATCAACTAACTGTGCGCTTGCAACCTAGGTGTTTAGGTTAAGTCCCAAAAACTATCCATTGAGAATGCTGAACAAAAATATATTAGCTTACATTTCTAACCAGTTGATCATAATAACACTAACGACAGGTTTATGAAAAGAATCGTTTCCAGTATTAACTGTAGATGCTGATATTCACGATGTTAATCACAATCAAACTCATTTACATGCCAATGATGGCAGAAACTATTAGTCTAGATATATCACGAACTTACTTAAATTTGAATAAAACTAAACCATAATAATAAGAATTGTATAATTATTTCCTATCTATGCTTCCGAACAAGAAGTTTTCAATATTTCTTCAACTGTTAAATATTATCATACATCTCACTAAAATTATTCGATAAATTTTCATTCACTAATCGACTGACACACTCACTTAGTTATTACACTTGAATAGTTTTACGTGTCTTTTTCATCCTTTCAGTCGAAAATAAATTTGTCTCTTTACCTATATGTCACAAACTCATCTTAGAGCTAAACGTCTCAATAACTAATAATTACAAGTTACACATATGAGATGTCACTTTTAAATTCATAAAACTCACCACTGGAACATAATAATAGTATTAAGGGGCCAGTGATTCAATTATGAGTGATTTTAGTAACAATAAATGCAATAGATTTAGGACTTTAAACTCAACTCCCATTGATAAATTTCATAATACAGAAAATATAATGAAGCTATTGAACTTACCAGAAACTTTTTAAAATTGAATTCAAACTATGCCAAATAGATAAGCTGATCCTCGCTGGCGTTTTACTAATCCCTGAATAAAAGAAGTTATTTAGTGTACAATCAAAAATATGAAAATTCTGATATGTCTCTTTCACCCAAATGTAGCTAAATAAAATCATTACAAAAGCATACCCATGAATGGAGACATTGTCAATGTTAACGAAGTACCTAAAAATCGAAACATAGTATAATTCATTATTGTATTGGTTGTTTGAATCTTTGCATTGACCTTTCGAACTGTAATTGATCAATATCTTTCTGGTTTGTGTTCGTCTTGTGCAGATTTCCTCGATATTGTCTTGAGTCACATGCATTATAAGCAAAAATGTATGGCGCCTAGCAGTGGAATTTAGAACGCACATCTCTTGCTATCTAGGAATAGTCAATTGGATGTACCTTCAATCCAGAGATGGTGTTCACTCCGAGTTTATAACACAGGTGACTTGAGGCAATATCGAGGCAACCTGAACATTATGCACATATGCCGAAAGAAGGCTGATTTATTGCAGTCCGAAACGTCAATAGGAAAACACAAACATCCAATACAAAAATGAATTAAACTTCATTTCATTACACAAACTAGTGGCTATCTGGACTAAGTAGTTAAATTGATACCGCAGTGGCATTTGCAGCGAATGGTACTGCGTTCGCTTCCAGGATCCAGGCACATCGGAGTGATGAGTCTCAAATAGGGCGAGACGAGCATCCTTGATTTCACTGCTAACCACCATCTATCTCTGCTTATAATAAAACACAGTATGATTGCAAAGGGTATTAAAATAGTATTTTCGTTTCAATTTTTGGAATATAAACACTCCTATATATATTTCAAATCAGTTAATATATGTGGTAACATGTGAAAGTATTTGATTATTTCGCCTGTTGATACTTATTGATTCACGTTACGTAGTTACTTTTACCATTCAAATGTATCGAACATATTTTTGTGTTTATCATATTGCATTATTAATCAATCATATTCGAAACTCTCAGCCAATAAAATGTGGCTAATCACCAACCATCATGATTAAAATATATTAAAAGCTGTTGTTACTTGGTTCTATTTATCCGACAGTTATCTGATTTGAAAATCTTAGTTCAATACATCATAATAATAAATGAAATGAAATCATAATACTCATGAATTTAATGCTTACTTGAGAAAAATATTTTCAAGAAATAAAGTATCTTAACCAGATTGTCACTTTTATACATCTTTTGTTTACAGGATCTGGATCCCTTGTAATAGAAACTTTACTTGAAACTGATTCTGGAGCGTATGAATGTATGGCACGAAATGAAATAGGTACAGTATTAAGTAATTCAGGCCATTTGCATGTACGACGTAAGTTCAATTTCTAACCATCTTTTTATGATTACACATCTACATAAAAATGTGGAGTTTTGATTTTAAAACAAGCTTTGTGAAAACGCTAGATGAAAAATTTAACCAAAGTATATCAAGTCATTAATTCAAAGTTAGTCTGTGCCATGAAATTTCAATATACATCAATATACGCAACCACTCATAGTAATCACTTATCATGTACTTGCTGCCGACTAGCTTTCAGAGGTAGTTTTCAGATCTCTAACGAGAAGTCGTGACTAGTAGAGTTCATCCATACAAAGCGTAAGACAAGTAGTACCAATGCAACGGTCTCGCAAAATTATAAACTGAATCAGGCTAGAAATCCCAGGTTAGGTGGTTTAGAATTTAAACGTTCACTGAGTTATCAGAAGAGCCTGAATCCAACCTCTGGTTGGGTCATCGATGCATGCCACTCAAGAGACTCGTACTCAGACAAAATGCTTGTTGAACGCTTTCAGATTTTCAAGTGTTTTTCTAGTTAAAAGCATTCTGTAATGTAAACTTATAGTTTGATAGTCTAGAATATAGATAAACTTTTCAAACGAATCTTGTGAGTTACTGGATATGACATGCCACTTGTGACCTTCTTTATGTTCAGTTATGTACATAATAGAAATATACTTAATGTAATTTAGTGAAAATGACATTTATATGGCGTTGGAATGTGGTTTCATTGTAATAGCATAATGGCAAAATAAATTGCTTCAACAATTTACAAGCGACTTAGTTAAATTCATTTACCACTTCAAAATGTAATAGGGACATTATTTAGACCTCACTGAACATTGACTGCAGCCAAATGAGTAGTGCTTGATACTGTAGTCGATTATCAAACAGATGTTTTGCAAGCATTCCACAAGTTCCTTTTCAAATGATGTTCGACATTACTTCAAATTGTAAACTTCAAACAAATACATGATGAATCATTGTTTATCAAGGTCTGAATTATTTCAACTATGATAATCAGTATTAAATTCCGCTTATTCTTCGCTGACATGCGTACATGCTCTGCGGATCGCTTCAGTATATCCATTTTGTCATAAAAATTTCAAATTGGATGATTCGTGGCTAGTACTTGATTCTAATACTCAAATTTCACCACTTTTTGGTCTCATCAGCCAGATGTATCTATACTTGAGCAGGACTCGGACCTATTAGCCACCTCTTCATCTACTGTCATGTTACGTACTGACCGTACAAAGCTTGTTACAAACTGGTTATTTGGAAGTGATTCGTACAGAATTTATATATTAAAACAGAATGATTGAAATTCAGTTCCAAACATTAAAAACGATATAATGCAAATCCTTACTAATATACGCATCATACATGTTAAACAAACTAGTGTTTACCCGAATTCAGTAGTTCGGTGGTTAACCCATTGCCGTTTAAGGTAAATATTACTAGGTATGAGTGCCAATATGAATACAATCGTTGGAATATAGTATAGTCAGCTAACACGTCACAAATAGTTTGGAATGGTGGTCCTAGATTCTATGTTAAGTTAAATACATATATATTCTATTAAATTTCTAAGATGCATTCAAATATATTTCTTTCTGGCTTTCTCAGATTACCATTAATAAAAACAAAAATGAATACTTCTTTTTTGGAAAAATTTTCATCTGTCGATTGTAATTTGATATTATACTGTTCTTTTTCTTTAAATTAACTGTCATTATCCATATTATTTAGTCAATATTGAAACCATAAATTGATAATTGAATATTTTCGATATGAAACGATTGTCCATTGTTGAAATTTAATTTTATTACAATGTTAAGCATACTTTTCTAGTTAAAGTTTATGAAAATAAAATAAACGTGTTTACTTGGATGGTTGTTGATATGAGTTTAAGGTTTAAAGTATATTTGTTGTTGATTACCGAGTTTTTTTGGGAGCAATAAAAAACTATTTTTAAGATATTTTGTGACTCTTCACGATTTGTGCCCTACAGCCCTACCAGTAATCGAGTTTCGGAGCATTAGATCTAATGGTGAAGTCCTGACAATTATAACAATGAATTCAAATACAATGGTTTATATTTCCGTTTATTTGTGAGCTGGTGAGATGAGCATCTAGTGTCATTAGTAATATCTATTCCATTCATCGCAAAATAATAACGATGAAATACAATAGATTGCACAATTTTGACAAGAAATTATAATTTACTTAGTTGCTAAGAAGTTATTTTTGTCTAACGTAATTGACTTTCCTGTATGCATGTGATAATTCACTCCCGTTGTACTCGTATTATTTATGTGTGACAAATCTACATATTTCGCTGAGATTTTACAACTACATTCTTCATCTTTAATGTCTTACATAACCTCGGAGCCCAAATCAGTTAAGAGTTTTGATTCAACATAAAGTTAGGATACTTAAAATAGATGTAATTGTCAGTATGAAATCTTGCAATCGAATAAGTGAGTTCTCATTAGTGTCCACTGCTAAGAAGTTTTGAAATTAGAGAAAATATTAGCCTAAATGTATATATACTACTTTTGGCGATATCGATGTCACTAGAATTCGTTCTTAAATTCATAAAACTTTATATAACATCAAGTTTATAGAGAAAAGGGTTTTGATCTTTAAGAGTAAAACACCAAGTTTTTGCCAATCAAACGGTAAAGTTTGATACCATGATTTTTTTCTTTGAACTCTTCAAAAGGATGACGATGATGTTTTGAAAATGTACAATGAACAAGAGTGAAATTATTGTTTCTCCATTTTCCAAAAATGTGTCTTATCCAGAAAACTAACTTGTAGTGTCGGTTACTTAGTTAAGCCCATATACCTTATTCTAGCTTCTGGACAGGCCAATTTATCCATTCTTCTTGAGTCACGTTTTGACCTTGTCAAATTATTCACTGATTATTTTTATACGAGCATATGTGTATGTACTTCTTATCTTATTCATTATATACCTGTAACTTATTTTTATGTGACTATAAATATTGATTAACGCTCACACGCTTTATCCACTTTGAGTCCTTTTGCTTCGCTTCGTTCTCTCTTCTTCGCTTCATTCGTTACGATTCTAAGATTATCTGTTCCGATCAACGAGTGCACAAAATATACGTATTCAAACATCCATTATCGCATTTGACTTATTCAATTCCGTTATTAACTAACGCGGATTAAGTCGATAATTACATACGACCATTTTAATAACAATCAAACATGTGACATAACTGGAGTCAGATCCCAGGCCACTAAAAACTAATCCTTCTACATAATTTATAACATTGAAAAATTCACGTCACCTAACCTAGTTTGTTTCCATGTTTAATTGTACATTGTTGAATTAGACTATATTCAATACACAATGAATATCAAGTTATGAAATCGTTTACAAAATTTGCATTTTATAGACAAAAAGATAAATTTAAATGAAAATTCATTTCCACTTTTTTTTATGTACAGATAATCTTACAATTGCATATCATTTTCTTCAACAAAGAGGCAAGTTTACTAGAGTAACTGGATGGGTCTCATATATATTCGCATTAAAACACTTATTAGATTTCACTAAATAGAATATGATTTACTAACATAATGATAACTGTATATTAGATTTAATTTTTTTAAAATTAAGGTGATTTTCTAGTGAACTGATCCACCTTCAGTCATTTTCTGTAATCATATTTTAGATTTTGGTAAAATATAAAATTTTAATAGTTAAAATCATGAGTCAATTGAAGCTGGGCCATTATGGAAAACCTGGAAGCACTGGACGACCGTTTCATCCCATTGTGGGACTCCTCAGAAGTCTAGCGTGCGAGCATTTAATCGTTGGACCACTGAGCCGGTATCCAACGGTGTTAATGTCTAACGTCAACTAATCCATGAAATTGAGTGACATTTCCATCATTTTCTTCAGTGATTTGATGTCTCATAACTGACCCGGTGGGACTCCATTGGTCACCGCTTCTCACCAGAACTCCAGGAAATCGGTAGATGTGTCTCTCAATTTCGTGGACTAGTTGAAATTAGACGTCAACACCGTTGGATGCCGGCTCAGTGGTATATATGTTAAGTGCTCACGTGAGAGGCTGATAGGTCCTACGTTCGAATCCCGCGAGGCGGGATCGTGGATGCACACTGCTGAGGAGTCCCACAACAGGACGTGACGGCCGTCCAGTGCTTCCAGATTTTCCATGGTGGTCTAGCTTCAATTGACTCATGATCTAAACTATTAAAATTACTATAGTATCCACAAAACGTCTTCGGAAATATATGATAAACCTAAATTCAAATCAACACTGTCAACAGTTATGAATAGCGATATGATTCATTGCTATTGTTCTTGGGCTTATCAAATGTCAGGTAATTTGAGCTAGGATCGACTATGACTTTGAAAATGCAGATTCATTTTAGACTTAGTTTTCATTTACACCATGTATTATATCCGTACTTTTTTGAAGTCATTCGTTATTAGCAAAATAAATTCAAGCCCATTCTCATTTCCACAGATTTCATTAACTTAACAGTCGATCCTAGATGAATTCGTATTATGCAAGCTTTGAAGGAATATAAAGATGTATTGAGTATGAGTGGCTTCTTTATAGCATATAAACGATGAATAGAAATCTTTGAACTAAGTTATACTGTTGTGTTCCTGATGAATATACCAACACTTTCATACTGTATCAGATCCTAGTGAAAATGATGTGTACCACTGACCTGTAGAAGGAATTAGAAATTAATAGGCTTAGTGTATTTGGTAAACAGTACAACATGATTATTAATTATAGTACATACTGCATATTAATTACATAAAAAGTAAATCACTTGGAGAATACTATTACTGTAAACTATAGTTTCATTTTAATTCTCAGTTTTAAAGTAGTGGTTTGTATATAAGCTACTCAAAAGATTAATTTGACATCATTTTTTCGCACTATCCTTCATAGCTTTAATCTACTTTTTTTGCATGTAAAGTATCAAGCACACATTCAAACACAAAATCTGGAATGATTGTCTGCACGCATTTGTATTTATTAATTTTCATGATATCCTAAGTAAAACAGTAAGCAAGCTTGGATTGTTTTGCTTGAATGATATGCTTATTAAATTTTTATATGGTTCACAATGTCATTTGTTAGTAAGTATAATATAGAAACTATTAGTTAAAATGCTCTTTTAAATATTCATTGACTATTTATAGGCATTCAGTTCCCACCAACAATTAATGAAATGCCTGAAAAAGTTGAAGTATCTTCTGGTAAAGGTACAAATTTGACCTGTCGAGCTGGAGGCTTTCCGATACCTATGGTTTGGTGGTCAACATTAGGTACACCAGCTGGACCAAGAGTTTCAGGACCAATTATGCTATCTGAACGTGCTTTAACAGAGCCACAACCACACGAAGCAACACTACGTTTAACAGATATCACAGAATCATCCGGTTATAATTGTATTGCAAAAAATGGTCTTGGTCTAGTAAGAAGAAATGTTAGTGTCATTGTAAAGCGTAAGTTGACATTTAATAACCTAAATATTTATGCAAATATTATTTAAGACAACTCTTTCTATTGAATTGGTAGTGAACATCTGGTGAGTAAATAATCCTGTATCATGTATTTTATGTTGTCAATCATCCGTCGGTCATACTAGATAAGAATAGGGCAATATCCGAAATTTATCTAAATCAAATTATTGACTACCGGGTTTTGACTCAACAATATAAAAATATAAACAACTGAACATTCTTATTTTATTTAAGCGCTGAGGGTTATAAACTTCATATAATTGTCAAACATACATTGTTCTTTGCTACATTCCGATCATCTTCCAATATATAAGGTAAACATGCATTTTCCGATTCCGATGGAACTGGTGTTTACTAATCGCAAAGTGACAATATATTGCCTTATCAAATTCTATGAGTCGGTTCTTTAGGACTTTCAACTAAGGAATCTCTACACGGGAACAACATACTCCGACATAAAACTTCCGTGTCTGTGAATATGTTTGCTTAAAATTCAAACCTAAGCTAGTGCAATCACTATAACACATCGGTTTTAAAAAAATGGTTGTACCATAAATTATTGATTTCTGATGTGAATCTTAAAACAATAGTAACTTTCATTCAAAGTAATGATATTATTTGACGACAAGAGTCAAGGTTTCATAATCGGAAGCTGTGAAATATTTCTCAATAATGGTAAAGTATATAAGAATAACAAATATTAAGGACAGTGATTCTAATATATAAGAAACATGACTATCAACATGAAATAAGAAGTACTGAATTCAGCTTTAAATTTGTTCAGATAAAAAATACTTCAGACAGTTTAATCCATTTAATCCTTTACTATTGACTGAATGATTAATTGCTATCTAAAGAAGATTATTGAAATCAATCTTAAATATGAATTTAAACAGCTTACAAAGGTACCTTTGCAAATATACTGCATTTAGCATGTATAGTCTAAGGTGATATAATGATTCATTTTGTATCATCTTAACTCTGTTTGCCTAGAAAAATATATCAACAGATATAATAATACAATAAAATCATTTATCAGAAGGGGTTTTTTGGAGATTTTAGTGATTTCAATAGTTGAGATCATAAGTCAACTAAGACTAGACTACCATGGAAAACCTGGAAGCACTGGATGTCCGTTTCGTTCTAGTATGGGACTCCTCAGCAGTGCGCATTCATGATCCCACCTTGCGAGATTCGAACCCAGGACCTATCCTACTGTGCCAGATCCTGGTGAAAATGATGTATGCAACTGAGCTGTATAAAGAATTAGAAATCCTGCGAGCGGGATCGTGGATGCGCACTGCCGAGGAGTCCCATAACAGGACGTAGCGGCCGTCCAGTGCTTCGATGTTTTCCATGGTGTTCTGGCTTCAATTGACTCATGATCTCAACTATTGAAAATCATTAATACTTAATGATAGTGTAACTATCCGCAGCTAATTGTAAGAAATATTTGGATGAGTTTTCCAGTGGAAAATTTTACAAACACTGAACAAATGGTTTTTAGTTTAGACGATTCATGGTTGAAGGTAGATTGTAGGAGACCTTGTTTATTATAGACTTCATGACAATTGGCACCCATCGTCATCAAGGCATACCTGCAATCTCCAAGAAACTGATGATCGTAGAGAGATTTTCAGTTCACATGCCTGTTAGATGAAACTTCCGTTTTGTATATACTTTTCAATTCAAACATTACTTAAAATTTTATCTTCTCAATTGTGTTTACATTCTTTTAGAACTCCCTGCTCCACCATCAAGTCTAGATGCACGACCTATTGGTAGTACTTATGCTGTATTACGATGGCCACCAAGTATATCATCTGGTGTTGATTCATACACTGTTAGTTTACAAATTGATGATGGTGGTTTAGGTGAACTTAGCCGTCGTCAAATAACAAATATCGATCCATCTGAAATGAAATCAGAAAATTCATTTAATATATTAGATACAAAATATTCTCAAGAAAATCCAATGATTGTTTATAATCTCACTGGTCTTAGTCCATTTACTTATATTCAGCTCAAGTTCATGCAGTTAGTCGAGTAGCTGGTTTATCATTACAAGTGATTTAGTAAAATTTCGTACAGCAGAACTTGGTAAGTTAATATTTTAAAAAGAAAAAAAAACACATCTTGTCATTGAAATTGTTTTGTTTTCAATTTACATTTTTCTAAATCCGATAAGTGAAGGATTAAGTCCTATATTTAAAAGAACCAAATAATTCATTAACTATTATTGAAGTATTGAAACTCTGAAAACTTGAAGTTGAAGTTTTTATCTTGGCAACATGACAAATTTTTCTTTTAATTCCCTTTTTTGTCAATAATAACAGGTATTTTTTTTATTGTGTAACAACCACATCATCATATGACTAAACATTTGATAATCTTCAATTATACATTTACATGAAAAGACTCATTAATTCAAAGTTAACATAATGTTGGGTTTATTTACAAGAAATTCCACAAATTCACATTTAATAGTTTTTATATTTACAGATAACCGTAACAACTGAATGACTGTATTCAAATATTAACTTCTCCATAAATATCAGTATGGGGGTTGTGGAGATTGTTAAGTTTTTGGTTGAGATCATGAATCAATTGATGTTAGACCACCGTTGGAAACCTGGAAGCAGTGGACGGCCGTTTCGTCCTAGTCGTGACCAGTGGAGCTAATCCGTGTCGGGTAGAGACAGGTATCTACCTCAGTACAGTGGAAGTTGGTCGCGCAACTTCGTGGATTGGTTGATGTTAGACACTAACACCATTGGATGCCGGCTCAGTGGTCTAATGGTTAAGTGCTCAGGCGCGAAGCCAGTAGGTCCTGGGTTCGAATCCCGCGGGGTGCGGGATCGTGGATTCGCACTGCTGAGGAGTCCCATACTAGGATGAAACGGTCGTCCAGTGCTTCCAGGTTTCCAACGGTGGTCTAACATCAATTGATTCATGATCTCAACCAAAAACTTAACAATCTCCACAACCTCCATACTGATAATTAACATGTGCTCACTAGTGACTAGCTTCGTGAGGGAATTCTCGGAGTTCTAGTGAGAAGTCGTGACCAGTGGAGCTAATCCGTGTCGGGTAGAGACAGGTATCTACCTCAGTACAGTGGAAGTTGGTCGCGCAATTTCGTGGATTGGTTGATGTTAGACACTAACACCATTGGATGCCGGCTCAGTGGTCTAATGGTTAAGTTCTCCATAAATAGTCGTCATTATATATGTGATGTAATATTGTTAATCTGTTGTCATGTATTATATATGATGTCATCAACAAGTGAAATAAGTAATGATAGTGAATACTCATATGTGATATGATTAACATGGTTCATATTAATAACCTGTTTTCATCAAATACAAACAAATATCGATTTTTAAAAAAAGTAATAATTCACTTCCGTAATTTTATATCCAATTATTTTATTCAAAGGTGAATAGCCATGGAAATTGAGAAGAAAAATGACTAATTTTTTTTAATCAACCAAAAAGTTGACCGGATAACAAACATTAGTGAAATGAAATTGGATAAAGCAAATAATCTCAAACTTGCTTTGACTTATCAATGAATGACTGAAAAGATAAGATATTGTTAAATCATTTTCTGGTTGCTAACTATTCATTATTATCACGAGACAATCTAAACTAGACCACCAAAGAAAATCTGGAAGCACTGAATTTTTGACTCGTTATAGTATGCGACTTCTCAGCAGTGCTCATCCACGATCCCGCACATGTAACTTGAACTCAGAACCTCTAGGTCTTGCGCTTGAACGCTTTGACTCCAGACCACTGAACCGGCATCCAACGATGTCAATGTCTACTTTTAGTCCGTCCATGATCTTACACAACCATTCATCTATTGTCTGAGGTGGATAATTGTCCCACACCTAACACAGAACAACTCATGAATTCAACTGTCAAACTAAATAAGTGGTTAATGACAGAAGACCATTGCATCAATTGATTAAGTCGTACATCTGTTTAGTTAGTTATTTTACACCTAGTATTCTGTAATCAGACAAAATAGTATTGCGTTATTGATAGGGTTACCAAAAGTTAAGTTCAGGTTTTAAGTACCGAATAAAGTTACGAGGTAGACAAAATATAATAAGAATGATAAACAGATATATGAAAGATGATTTTCATCTTTATGAATATAAAACAAACAAAGAGAAGGCGAACACATGTCAAAAACATACTAACTATAGGATGCTTGGATAATAACGAAACAAGAGTTTGGATACTGTTACTGAATATATAGACTAGGCGTGAAATGATGATTTACCATAGGGTTGTTACTTCCTTTAGAACCAGTTTATCTATGTTGATAATTGTAAATAAAAACTCCAATAAAGCTAGATGATCAGGGATGATAAGGTTTTAAGCAATAGAACCCATATTTAAATAACCTTACCGGATAAATTTTGGATAAGCACGCTTCACGAGGTCAGTGTAACTGAAGATGCACTTTATAGCTTTAGTAAATGAGATTGTCGGAAATAACATTGGTTGGTGGCTTATTGGTTTGTATTTATATCTTTAAAAATAATGAAAATGAAATGCATCAAATTTTGCAGTGATAATGTTAACTTTTGGAATTACTTTATGACGCTATCGTGTACCATTTTACAAATATCTAATTTACGCAAAATTTCTAGCTTCTTATCACAAAATCTGATTGTTTATCTGCAAGAAAAGACTGTGACTTTTCAAATAGAAATGACATGAGCATATGATTCTTAACATCAAATAAACATCAACTTGTGAACTGATGAAAAACAGAAATTACTGTATGTCTTCATTCTAAATAGTAAGCACTGCGTATTCTTTCACGGATATAATTCACAAACCTTCAGATATCTTAACGAATACACACACATTGAGACTACTAAATTAATAGCCTAAGGTGGTTTCGTGTGACCTGTACAATTAAAGAATTGTAAACTGGAATGAAATAGCTATCTGATGTTTTTTATTGCTATTAGTTATTTAGGTGGAGCTTTGTTCTCTGAGCTGGATATTTTGGTCCTGGAGCTTTCATCACTCTTCTGAACAACATCATCAGTACAAACTTCAAATGGAAGTGAAGTGTTCGAATTTCTTCTTCTACCTGAAGTTTGTAATGAAGATGTTATGTCAGAAGAACGATGAAAGCTCCACGACTAAACTATCCAGCTGAGAGAAAAAAAGCACCTAAATCATCTACCTGAGCTACAAATCTTCTCTACAATCCTATTAGTTATTTAGTTGATATTCGTTTGTATTTAGAATGATCTTGAAATTTGTTCAATATTACTCCCATGAATTTATAAGTCCTAATGTAGATTACTTCTAGTTTTAACAAAAAAATCTACTTTATCAACTAATCCAATAAAATTAGGAAAAAAAGGCTTGTCAAGAACCCTCTCTTTGAAATGATACAATGATGACAAAAGAACTTAATGTAAAATTTTTATTACTATTATTGTGATACAAATGAACAGGTTAATAGATGATAAGCATAAATTACTGGTCAAAAAATCAACTCTCATTTAATTAGACAGTAATTTAAACAATGATCCATTTTATTCTTTCCACCATACACTATTCAATAAATCAATTTATTATTCAATTATATTATTATTAACCTCAATTTTATATTTAATGACCAATATACCTTTTGTAATTATTGTCATTTGTTCATCATTCAACTGATTAAATTGTTTATTGTTGTTCTTATTATCATTAATATAATCCGCCCAGTTATAAGTATTTCATCAATCCTTAATGACATTTTTTTTCTTTAGACTATCTACAAATCATGTAAATTTGTCTATGAATAGATATGTATACAATCAAATAGATGAGTACATGGTAGATTATTGAATAAAGAGACAAGAGAATAGATAGAATGGTATTGACAATAATTAGTCTATTATTTCTGATAGCTATTCCCATTCATTAGGGTTGAATATTTTATTACCAATATTTGTGTTAATATATTCATATAAGAAAAGTTCAATTGATGATTATATATATATATATATATATATATACAAATAGATCAATATGGTTGTATAACAATTTATATATCAAGAACAATGTTATTATCAGTTTGCTTAGTTCTAATTATTTATGACTATATAGGACATTATACATTAAGAATAGATTTGTTGCTATCCAGTTTAATCAAAGAAGTTTTTTTTGTTTTTATCAGATTCTAGTTAACAAATTGTCCGATTGTCACTAGTTAACGAAATATTTAATACTTACAAATACGATGTAAAATAAATGTAAAATAATAAAACGATTAGAAAAAAAAAGAAGCGAACTAAATGATTTTAATCCCGAGTAAATTAGTTGCTATGCAAAACTGCTTGTTAATTAATTTTCAAAATAAAATCGATAATTTTCGTGTAAACAAAAGTTTACTTGATCACTATAAGAAAATTAAACTATTAACGTATTTGATGATATTGAAAGTTCAGAATTTTCTATATTTTCACTGTTTGTCGATATAGTGATAGAAATCAGATCTTGGAAATTGTCTATCATATCAACAAGATGTGAACAAAACATTTGAATTGTGTGAAACGAAACTAAATGATTTCCTAAAACTTTCCAAGATGTTGGTAACAGTGCAAAACAGTATTGTATGAAACATAATTATACAAATAAGTAGTAGGTTTATAGTAACGAAAATAAAAAACCTCAAACATTATGAGATAAACCTTTGCTGTCTCGTATAATTTTTATTAAACGTACTACGTTGAATAGAGAAAATAATCAAGACAGATGATAAAAGAAATAATTAACTTTTTCAGGAATCTATTAATTAGTCAACTGATAAACAGTAAGTATTCACTGGTAACCTCAGTGTACTACTGAATTTGAAGGAAAACACTCGACCAAATAATGTCTTTACTGTGACTGACAGAAACTGAATGATCTCTATTTATAGTTTTAGATAAACTGTGAACATAATGAGGAGAATTTGTAGTTTAACTAGTGCAAATATACAAATATACTACTGTTACCCCTCGTGGAGGAGCATGGGCCACCCACTGGCACTATTCATCCAACACTGTCCTTAACAATCCTTTCTAGTTCTTT